ATTGGTCAAGCACCAACTCAGGGATGCTCTTGCTGGCACCATAATCCTGCATTCAGAGAAGAAATGCTAACATTGCATTAGTAAATAATGAATGTGGTTATTTGCACTGACGCAAATGATGATCCTTTTATTTTTCCAGCTGTTTCTGAAATTATTGCCTTGATATAATGACATTAATTTATTTTTGAGAAATAAATTTTTTTTTTAAAGTATCTTGAGTTGAAGGAATTCATTTCAGCTGTCATTTTTTTCTAAGGATTTTAAACTGTGTACTTGGTTTTCACATCTAACTTCTAATTAAGAGCACAATGGTATCATCTTAGTAACAATTTTTGTTTGGGAGCATTTTCTCTCTCTTTCTTTCTGATATGCATCCAGTGTTGCACAGGCACAGTATCTTATTACAATTGACCTGTTCGTAAGATGTTTTAGGATACTGATTTGATCATAAACACTGGCAAGACCTGCTTGCTTTACTCCAGGCAGTATCTTTCAGATGCAAAGGGGTGTGGGACAGGGCCATAAAGCTTAAACTTGTTTTCCCCCCTAATTCATACAAAAATTACCATTTATTAAAACATACTTCTTTTTAGTTTTCCAAAACTACTACACACTTTAGCTAGTACAAAGGGCTAGTGGCACTAACACTTTGATAATTACACAAGCATCAGAAACTGCATATATGAAGCCTAAATCTGAGGGATTACTGCAAATAAGATTTATGTGCATTAAGACATAAATACCTTTACTAACTTGTATAAATCTTAACATGAAGCAGAGGAACAGAATTAAATGTGTTGCAATTTAAACATTAGGCTTAAGTATTTTGTATATTGCAAGTGTATCTTGGCAACAAACTGATCTGTTGTATTTCAGCAGCTCTGCAGGTGGAAATGTGCTGAGCAACTTGGGTAGTAGGTAGGTCTTTCACTGTTTATGCAGACACGTTCCACAAATGCAACCGTTGTAGTTGAATGGTTATGCAAAACCAAGCACACATTTAGCTACTGTTGACAAGGTCAAGATACACTCATCTAAAGGATTTTTGCAGTGTCAGATTATTTTGCTATTATGAAAATTACGATGCAGCCAAAAAATAGTGTTTATGTATAAATTCATTGTGGTTTAAATCAAGCCGTATGTTTCTCTATGTAATAGTAAATGAAGAGCATTAGAATGAGGTTGACCAGTGCAGTAATTGAAAAATACTAAACTACCTCAGGTTTTATTCTCTCTTTAGACAGATCAGTTTGCCTTCAGGCTAGAAATCTATACATCAAATTTCAGACAGATTTTTTTAAAAGCAAGTAACATGTAAGCCCTTCAAACCAGGATTTGAAGTGGAAAATATAACCAGTCTGTAAGTACAGTTGCATCACAACACTAGTGGAATTCCACTAACATAACGTTGCATAAAGCCTCACTTGCTCCTCCTACATGTACTAAATATAAATGTGCATGAGCAGCAAAAGCAATTTGCCTATATCTGCATCAGCTAAATAGCATTTGCACTAAAATTGTGGATCTGGATACTAACTTCTCTGATAAAGCTCCAGATGAACCTGATAAATAAGTAGAATCATAACTTTAGATGCTGTTTAGTTGCTTGCTTTAGAAGGTATTTCACTGTTGAAGTGAATTTATTTGTTTTGGAAAGGAAGAACTTTTTTTTAAATTTCCTAACATCACAATTTCAGGTAAAAGTTTCTCTAGAGTCCTACTCTTCTTGAGCTACTAACCAATTTACATCTATGCAAATCCTGGAACACTTATGTTCATTGTTCTGAACAGTATTACATAACATGGGGCTATTGAAACGCAGAAAATATTTTTCTGTGTAGAATGGCAATGCGATTAGCTGAATGCTGTTCAGAAGCTAATTGCTTTTTAAGGTGATTCTCCTTCTGTCACTCATGATGGGTTATAAGTTTCACAAGAGACTTATTTTCTTTCTGAATGTAGCATGCTTACAGTTAATGTACATTAAATGTGAACTGCATCAAATTGCCAGTCCAAATGTCCCGCTGTTTAATTTAGAGTTTATATGCAAAGCTGGGGGAATATTTTCTCCAAAACTAAAACTGTGTCAGACATCATGCTAGTTCTAATAATTTTTATTTTAATTTTTTTTCAACTGGTCAATTGGAGAATAGAAAAGTTTTTTGAAGAGATTTCAATGTTAGCAAGGATATAATGAAACTGGTCTGTTCAACACCTTCCTGGCTGTTTTCCACTGCCAGCGTATTTGCGTACTTTATTCTTGGTTGGTAAGAGTGCCAAAAAGAGATGAAGAAGCTGTCTAAATCTGTCTCTTTCTAAATCCACGTCTCATTTTTCAGTTTACTTTTTCTGTAAAGCTTATTAGGACTCTTGTAATAGTAAGGCATCGGGGAAGAAATCCATTTGTGATTCTGTTGTAAAAGAATGAGGCTGTAAGTGCAGGAAACCTGAACACCTTTAGCAGAGTGATTCCAGTTTGGGTGTAGTTTAGTTTCCATAGATGCGAGTGAAGGAACTGACACTGCAGACTGACTGCAGTTGTGGCAAGGCTTTTCCTGCCAGTGGTATGGAAACTGATTATTCCTCTATTAAAAAAAAATAAAATTAAAAATCCATGTTGCTTACAAATGTGTCATTTTAATGATTAACCAAATTTTGTATTAAATACAGTCCATGTTGATAATACAGATTATAAACTCATGCAGGAGCATGTGCTTCTGTTTTTGTCTAGCTGGAGATTATCCCTTAATCATGCAGTGTCCAGGTATGCATTTTCAGATTTGTTGACTCAGGAAAGCTGGAGATAACATTAAAGGCTGATGACATTATACTGGAGCTACATTTAGGTTTCTCCTCTGAACAAGAACTCTTGCTTGAACCACACAGTGAGAAGAATGGCAAGAAGAAATGTCCTCATTACTGGTTGTTCCTCAGGAATTGGACTGGCACTAGCTGTAAAAATGGCAAAAGATGAACAGAAAAGATTTAAAGGTAATAACGTATGTGTTATTTATCTTTTTATAAAGATACTCTTTGAGACAGTACTGTTTTTCCCCTCTATGATATAACAGGTGATTGTATTCAGTTTGGTGACTTGTTTCTTGTTGGGTTCCCACCTCCACTGTCATGAAAATAGAATACAGTGAAAATATACTGCATTATGTAAGCAGATCATATTTATGTACCTGTGTTGAAAAGCTACTTGAACTGAATAGTTTACCAAAAAAAAAAAAAAAAAAGACAGTAGCATAAAACCAAGTGGCTGAAAATGTCTTCAGTATGCTACCTTGGATATATATTCACAGTTGCAGTTAGCTGTTAGCTTTGCTTCTGGCTACTAAAAAACTTGTTCAATGAAATCTGTGTGCCCATTTGAGGATCAAAGAAGTTAATTTAGGAAAACAGTTCTTAAATTTATAATTTTTTACTTAAAGCATGTTTAATTATTGAAACTTTTGTAGGCTTCTGAGGGTGAGGATTTGTCAGAGGCTGGGATTTGTCATTCTGCTGCAAAATAGGATACTTGCTATGATTGAAAATGCACATCAAGGTGAACACACCAATGTGTTAATTCAGTTTCTCACACTCTCATGGTATTTTACTGCTAATTGACTGGGCAGAGATTCATAGTTTTCTGGTCAGTTAGGCCACAATAATGTTAAAACTAATTTCTATTTTGAGAATAGACATTTTTGCAACCTAAGGAAGCATCTTTCTTACACTTTTTCATAATATTATGTGTGTTCTGCTAAACATGTTGGTGATTAAAGATAAAAAAAAAAAAGGATGCCTGGAATGCAAAATTGTTTTAGTTACCTAAAAATGCTTCAGCAGCATAACTTGGTACCCATTATTTCAAGTTTTGGTGCTACCATTATCATCATACACTAAATATTCTTCATGTGCATAGCTATTTAATTCTCCTTTTGAATGTCTTCATTTCAGAACTAGACTCTGGGAAATCAGGGACAATATGTGTTGAACAGAGTTTCTTTCTACTTTAAGTTTTTATCTGGGTTCGATCACTGATATTTAAGATATGTATGTAAAAGCAATATTCTTTCATAATTCTCAGTAAGACTGACACAGAAAAAGTTGTTGGTTTCGTTTGTTTTGTTTTTTTCTGATAACTGCTGCTTTTGGTGTATTACAGTGTACGCCACAATGCGGAATCTGGCCAAGAAAGAGCCCCTTGAGGAAGCTGCAGGTCGCAGGCTGGGCAAAACCCTCGAAATTAAACAACTGGATGTCTGTGACGAAGAGTCTATTAAAACTTGTGTGAATAGTATCCCTGACAGAAGGATTGATGTCCTAGGCAAGTACAGGATGTATATGCTATAAATAGATAAGTTTTCTGTTTAATATTTTCTCAAATACCCTGAAGAAGTTTCACTAGTGTATTTTTTAAATGATCAAAATAATAATAATTATACAGTGTGTACTGTTCAAGATTCTTACGGCTTCATGGAGACATGAGTGAGTTAAATCTCAGCATGCCTCTGTGCAGTAGGGAATCTTGTTTTCCCCATTCACAAAGGAGAAACAATCACAGAGAAGTGTCTTGGATAAGATGATACAGTTTTTAGTAAACGCGAGAAAAGAACTTTTGCCTAAATTGGCATCTTCACGTACAAGACTTTCTGCCCTATTGATGAAGCACAGCCCTGTTTACATTGAAGGCAACAGATTTCTGTACTAAGGAAGCAACTGCATTTGGAAACTAGCAAATAAAAGAACAAATGCAAAGAAAGTAAGGGTACTTTTGTTTTGTACTGAGAATTGTAACTGTACTTCACAAATCATTCAACAAGAAGTGTTTTCATACTCTTTTACCAAATGATTTAAGGGAGGGGGCATCCACAACTGTCTCGGCAACCTGTTCCACTGTTTCAGTATGCTCACAGTAAGGAATTTCTTCCTAATATTTCATCTAATTCGATCCTCTTCAAATTTGAAAACTGTTACCCCTTGTTACTCCTCAATAACAAGTGCCTCCCCATCTTTGCCCTAAGCTCCCTTTAAGTGCTGGCAGGCTGCTCTAAGAGAGCAGCCCTTAGAGACCTGGGGTCTGGAGCCTCCTCCAGGCTGAACAGCCCCAACTCTTCCTGCCTGTCCTCACAGAGGAGGTGCACCAACCCCATCATCTTCGTGGTCTCTGGAGCTCCTTGAGTTGCTCCGTGTCTTTCTTAAGGGAGGGCGCCCCGAGCTGAACACAGTAGTGTGGGTGAGATCTCACGAGATCATTTTAAACCTATTTTAATCCTTCCTTTAAGGATTATTTAAGGATCATTTGATCCTTAATCCGCATTTTACTTTCAAAGACTTTCCAGTAAAGATTGCAAGTTAATATTTACGGATGTTATTGCTCTCTCTTGTCTTCCATTTTGTGCAGTTAGCAATGCTGGAATGGGGCTCATTGGACCTATTGAATGTCAGACCATAGAAGAAATGAAGACTGTGATGGATACCAACTTCTTTGGACTGGTTCGACTCCTGAAGGAGATTTTGCCTGACATGAAGAAGAGAAAGAGCGGGCACATAGTTATAATAAGCAGTGTTATGGGAATACAAGGCAAAGTTGGGGTTTTTGTTTGGTTGGTTTTGTTTGTTTGAACTAAGAGTTCAGTATTCAAAATCAAAAGCTTGCCTCTTTTTATCTGAAAAAAGTCAGAGCTAGCATATCTATTGTGCTTTGTAATTCTGAAGTTCCATCTATAGCAAGTGCAGCACTTAAACCTGCTGGTTTTTATGCATCTAGGTAGTATGTTACTACACAACTTTTTAACAACAAAACCTGCAGAGTGAATTACTTATTTTTCTTGGCGTTTTAACTCAAATTAATTAGTTCTTTCTTTTTACTGGGAAACAGAACTTGGAAGCATTACTTTTCTATTTCCTATTGGAAAAGTTAATGGGGACAGGCAGACATGCTTACTACACTCTTCACAATACTAATGGAATAAAATCTAATCATGTCCTGGACAAATGTGTCATCTTTTTGTAAAGTTTCTCCTCTCATAAAACTCCACAGACTCTAATTTTAGCCACAGATAATGATGATCCTACTCTTGTGTTCTGTCTGGTCTAGCTGCATTTGTTTCAATTATTCCAACAGTAGCACTGACCTTACCTGGATTATCTGGGTGAGCAAGGGTCCTAATTCACACTGCAAGAGTTGTTATTTTTTAATACAATACTTACCATCCACCTAAATGGATCGATGTAGTGCTTTTTCTAAATCACTCATATGCAAAGTGGATCTCTTGCATAATCTGATCTCCTACATTGCACTCCGCATATCTTCTGCGATAGCCTATTAAAGTCTTGCTGATAAATAATGCAGATGGTATTGCATGTACATACACTTTCATACCTCAAACTACAAAATATTTAATATTAACACAAGAGATCACAGCCTCAGCTAGGAGGAGGAAAAGCATTAGTCAAGCATCCTTTCCTAGAATAAGCAATTTTGAGAACATAGGCAGAGAACTAGTATTTAGATTCAGTATACAAAAGGATTTTTCTAACGTTTTCCTGGCAAGACTAGAAATTTTGGGAAAATATAAGAGTTTTTAAAACTGTTATTGAATACAATACACTGAATACAATCACATGCTCAGGATGTTTTGTTTGTTTCATCAGGTATCTTATTTAACGATGTTTATGCTGCATCCAAGTTTGCTGTGGAAGGATTCTGTGAAAGTTTAGCTATACAAGCACTCAAGTTCAAACTGCAGTAAGTATTGATCCACTGGTGTAAATTGTATTTTAGATAGTTCTAAATATATTCAGAGCTCGCAAACAAATTGTTAAAGCTTGCTGTTCTCTAGGGAAAACAAACTAAGGAACCCATGGGAATTGTACATCACGCAAAGACAGAGGAATGTCCAAACTCTTCACATGACATAAGCAAGAAGATCTGGATGCTAAAAATAAATGAATAGCTAAAGGCTTATGTAACATTTCTGGAAGCATATTCTTGCATACAATATGAGAATAAAATTATACTATCAACCTGTAATATTTTTCTTAGAAAGGAGAACAGACTTCTTAGGCAATTCACGGATAAAAAAAGTTCAAGGGCTCATCATAGAGAGCAAGTGAAAATCCATCAGAATTGAACACAGGGCAAGATACTTACGACAGGTGGGAGGAAGGGGAAGAATGTGGTGCACCATTGCATAATGTTTAAGACAGTATTTAAGAGAATGGTCCTGTTCATTGTGGAATTTTGGGGTTAGATTTGTCACATGTATATTCACATTCATGTAATTTTACTACTCTTCGTTGTGTGAAGTCCAGCTGTTAAATACCTGTTGCATCTCTGAGAGCTCTTGTGCTGTGGGAGGAGAGACAGCTGCTGTCACGGGATTTCAGAGACAAGGCGGTATCCACACTATAGTTTTGCAAATTGCTCTGAAAAGTTTAGAGGGATTTAAAATATATATATTGTAACAATACACAGGATATTCCTGAATTCATAGTAAGATTTCAAGAGTGTTAGATGCGGCAAAAAGAAAGTTAAAAAAAGAAAGTTGAATGGGAAAAGTACAAGGTCCAGCGTCAGGAGTGACGCAAGAGAAAAGGCTTTACCTCTAGCAACAGCTGGAATTCTGCTGTCACGGTCAATAGCTTGACTGAGTTCTAAAGAAGAGCCTGACCAGAACTCAAGTCTAGGAGGAAGTCCTACCCCAAAGACTATTTTGAACTTGTGGCTAGGAGTAATTACTGCCTGAGAAAAGAACTGGGAAAGAACTGACCAGTAATTGTGTTTCAGTGACTTGCTATAATACTCTAGTGAGCAAAATAAAATTTTCCAGATATAGCAGCAGCCAAAATCTGGCCGCCCACATCAAAATTCTCTATATTGTATTTTATTATAATCTTGTGGAGGGATCTTGAATTATGTAATACTACTGAAAGCTTGACAAAGAAAATCCATGTCTGGTAAATTCCCCCTTCTTTTTCAGCTACTTTTAGTATTATCATGGGAAGGCTATAACAAAGAACTCTATGTAGGATTTTGTCCAGAATTAATTATTTTTCTTAATATTTGATGAGTTCTTGTGGATAAATCATCCTTAGATCCCACAGCTGCGAGACAGCAGGTAACAACTGCACTCATTTCTGCCATGAATAAAGTTACAGCACTTCCCTGCAATATGATTCCTATTGCTCCATGTGAACGGGCAGGAGCATGGGAGCCATAACGTGGTACAGATTGCCTTTATGGAATGTGCTGTTCAGTACCACTTGCTAATGTACTCACAGTACAACTTGTCAATATTTTTTTTGAGAAAAATAGAGAGGTGTATTTCTCACACAGACTAGTCAGTAACCACTATATCTTTGGTTTTTAACCAGGTTAAGTCTGATTGAACCAGGCCCTGTAGTTACAGAGTTTGAAAGAAAAGTGTTTGAAGATGGAATGAAAATGGATCTTTCTGCTGCAGATGAGGAAACAGCTGAGATGTTCACTAATATTTACCTTAAAAATTACAAACAAATTTTCCAGAGCCTAGGACAAAGTGCTGAAGACGTTGCAGAGGTAATCCACCAACAATTCTCCATATTTTTTCTCTTTTTTTTTTTGTCTTTGTAATTTACAAATGCACTGGTCGTTTCGTGCTTTTTTGTTGTTTTTTTTGGTAGAAGCATTATATTTTAAATTATTTTTAAAAAATCAAGAGAATCTAAAGTTTTAAACTAAACCCCCTATGAAATATTAAAAGAATGTTCATTTTCAAGTATTGAAGACAACTGTGAATTGGAATTTGAATACCACTGAGGTATTAAAGGCACTTACACATCATCTGGTGAAGTCTGGACAGTCTGCAGTGTTACCACACATCTAGGCAGGGTTCCCGCCACTGGTTAAATCCTCTCTCCTCTCCATCTCCCTCGGGATTCCTCCACTAATGAGAAGTTCGCTCAGCTGCTACAGACCACCAAGGCACAACAGAGATAAATGCACGTAGTTTCTGGTGCTTGGGGCTTTCCAGAGGAAAACAAATTTAGGCAAGCTGCAGAAGGGGACAATGATTTCAGGCGCTGCTGCTAAGGAACAGCTTCAATGTTAGCTGCAGGTTCCCAGATCTTGCTGCAAAGTGCATTATTCCGATCCTTTCTCAGTGAAATGCAAAAGAAAGGATCTACCTATTGTGCGCATGTACGCATAATTCTGGAGGCCTACTCAGGATACCTAGGTGTAAGGTGCTATCACCATGATACAGATAAACAGAAATAGGTCTAAGAATAACTAAGAAATACTTCTTACAGCCTTAAAAATATTTTAAGATAAGTTTCTAATGAAATTATAGTAAAACTACATACAGACTTTTACATAATTCTAGCACTTTTATTCTTCCACTTTTTCTCTGCTTAACTGAAAAATATGTTATTGCTGTATTATTTTGGTAAAAGTTCTTTAACAACTTTATTTCTAATTCTTGACAGCATACAGTAAAAATCATTCTTGCAGAAAATCCACCTTTTCGCCATCAGACCAACACCCTGTATACTCCGATGACAACTCTGAAATATGCAGATCCAAATGGAGATCTACCCATTGATATATTCTACAAAATGGTTTTTCATCATGACAAAGTCTTCAGTGCAAGTCTTAACTTTATCAAATTGCTAAGGTGGAGAAGTAGAAAGAGCTTTGACCTGGGAAAACCCTCACAATGAGATTATATACTGCAAATTGGAATTACTTGTAGCTATTGATACCGCAGTATGTTGTTACTCAAATGCCTTTGCTCTGTAGCTGTAAAAAGACATTCAAGATGTTCATTTGAGCCTAGCTAAGATATTCAGCTCAGTGCATTTATCTTGAACTTCACATTTCAGATAACCTTGGAATTAAAATCCTTTAACTGTAGGTTTATTCTGTTTAGTCTTTGCTTTTTAGAGAGATCTATTTTCACGGCAACATGAACACTGACTGACACTTGTCTATTCAATATTATCCCAATCCCAGTCACTTATTAAAATATAATAGATACTCAGATGTGTATTTTATGTAAATTATTTAGATTCTTGCTATCAAAAATATTTTATCTTTTTACTTACTGGAACTGAATAAAATTAGTATAGTGATCCCTAAATCACAACAGCATTCATATTTTCAGAATTTGGGTCTATTTACCAGTAACATAAGAGAAAATCTCATCAACCTTAAAATGTCACAACCAAAATATTTATTAATCATATGTATAGGTTATAATATTCCTTTGTATGCAGTGGTTACTAACATATTACACACAGTGGGCAACAAAATGTTTTTTTTTAAAGGCACCTCAAAATAAAATACCTTCCTACTGTCTGGGTACTAATTTTTGCAAAAATATTATTAGTAAGAAGTGATGTAAATTCATTAAATGCTTTCAGTGCCCTGAGGGGCTAAAGCTGAGCCACAAGCTCTCCTTTTCCAAGTCATCTTCATAAGTACTTAGTAAGCTAAACTAATAGCAGGAGAATATCTTTTCCCTCTCTTCCTCTCACTCTTATACATGTTAGCAGAGGCTAAGCTGGGGCTGTGAGTTTATGTGCTGTTCTTGCATGGTGTTCTCGGTCTCTGACCTCCAGCCTTGCCTGGGCTCTGCCTTGGGCCTCCAGGCTGGAGCTTCTGGGCATGTTCTAGCAGCAGCCCTGGTTTCACTTGCAAAGCCCAGCTGGAGCTCACTGGGGATACTGGAATTGGCTTTCAGCTTCCTGCACTACTTTCTCACTGACGCCGAGTCTAACTCCGTGCTTGGGCTTGCCCGTTCCCAAGAGCAGCTCAGGGAAGCCAAGCAGCACCCACCGCGCAGGAGCTGCTCTGGATACCGAGCGCTCCAGAATCGCTGGGCTCACTTCGCAGTTGTCACCCTCGGGCTGGGTCGCAGGGCCTGGGCTGCTTTACCCTGTTTTTCCTTTTCAGCACAAATAACCACGGATCCACCGGGCTTTACTGGGCCTTGCACACCTGCCAGCGCAGTTCGCTTTGCTTAACAGATCGATCCTAGTTAAATCCAGCAA